TTCAGAGCTGACAAAGCAAAATGAAGAGTAATGCCCCAGTGCCATCTACAGTTCTACTTGCCACTCTGAAGCCTTCAGCTTCAGACACGTTGGAAAGGGAGGGCCATGAATTACAAGCACACAGTGCGTGGCTGCAGGAGGCATCATACAGACTGGTTTTGATATATGAAAATGAACAGTACCTGACTGATTCAGTCTGCTGTTTGTCTAACTTCATTTAACGAGTTTCAAAATGCAGTTCAACTATTTCTAGCATCAGCCATTATATTTTCTAATTAAAAGAAAAAAAAAAAAAGCCTTAACCTGCTAAAATTCTCATTTTCTACTGCATCAAACAACTATTTGGGCCAAGTTTGCTCTAGGATAGCAACAAAACATCTACAATCAGTTCTTCACAGCAAGGTTAGCAAAGGCTTTCCAAAATGATGCACACCTTAGGATGTCGACAGGCATGAATCTGAGTGTATCGGTCTGTAGTTATATGGCAGAGGATTTCTGGCATATTTTTGAACATATCAAGCCTATTCACGTGCACCTAAAAAAAAAAAAGGCAAAGTTTACTCTTAATCAGCTGGCTGTGTTTGCCAAACTGCAGCTAGAGCACAGACATGGTTCTGCTCTCAACAAATGCCAGTAAGGATTTATTAATGGGTAATTTGTAAATATGCAAGTGGGGAAGTGTCTTGGATAGATAGAACAGGCAGAATGAACCTCCTGTGCTACAAAGGGCTGAGCACAGATCAGAGAAAAGTAGAATGCATCTGCTATTTATGTTGTGCAAATGAGAAGAATTTTACAAGGTATAAAGGAGAGAGGTAAACGCTGAGCTGAAAAATGGGGATTAACTTCTCCCTTGAGAGTCTAGATGTTCCAGTAGATGTCACACTCTGAAACCAAATAGTTAGCTCACTTCTAAGCACAACTGTAGGCTTTTTTTAAGCACGGTGTGCACGCCATTCACATACAGTAGTTCTCTGAACGGCCATTTCCAGTTCAGTTCACAGTTATTACGCAGCATCTGTTCTAAAACAGTTACCTTGATTCCAAGCTCCTCACTGAGGTTTATGAACAAATACTCATATCCATAAGCAGCTTTGCAGTTCAGCCACACAACATGACAGCGACTGAGCGAGGTCCAGCTCCGCACTAACTCTAAGATCCCATTTAAACACTCCTCCTGAAAGGTGTAGAAAAGCACTGTGATTTGTCTCACAAGCTATCTGTAAAGTGCTATGATTTGATAGGCAACATCATATTTTCAAGATTTAACTAAAACAAAAAAAGGCTCATTAACTTATCAGTGGCTTTAGGACCTTTCACAGCCTATTTAGACTTACCCTGCTTGGTATATGATAAAATCTAGGATCACAAAAAGTGGTGTCCAAATAAACACTCTGGATGTCTTTTACTCTGAAAGAGAAATGTGGTATCAGAGTGAGCAATGCATTGCAGCACTAAGATATACTACTTCCTCTCTCCTCAAAAAGGATGTAATTCTTCCTCTTCATTACAAAGAACAAGTCAATAGAAGCGTGCAACTGAACTCCTTACTGCAAATATATTTAATAAATACATACATATATGAAATAATTCCCAAATTGCCCGTGTTCACATGACCTTTCATTCATTTTAAATCCCACAGATAGACTAAACTCACCAAGAACTGAATTAAAATGCTACTGTTTTTTCTCATACCTGGTCCCTGAATGCAAAAGCTCCATTCTGGCTGCTTCTCCTTTTGCAAGCCTGAAATCCCCTGTATACAGCACAGTGCCATTTTCACCTTGAAACAGAAACCTACAAAGAGAAACACTTCCATCAAACTTAATAAACAGCATTAACTGTCAAGTGTCGATTTGTTACTTTGCTCACATATGTCTGTGTGAGCAGAATATGGCATAACAGAAACACGGGGCTCAATTTTGTCCTCGAGTAATTTCAGGCAAACCCTGATAATAATTCAGTCAGTGTGGGTGGGATAACCCAGCTATTCACTGCATCCACAAGCACACTATTTACTGAGAACTTTGTAGGACAAATCTCCCAGCAGAAACACTTAGAATATTGAATAGGACATACATGACTGATCCTGGACAGTGGCCAGCTGGCAGGAGTGTCACCTCTATATCTTCTTTCTGCAACAGAGGGGTTAGCATTATTTTCACACTGGAATGAATACTACTGATACTTTTTCTGACAAAGTGCAAGCAATTCTCCACAGCCACCTGCATCACTTCACAGTGATTTTGAATGAAAAGACAATCTCTTCACATTCCAGCCAGCACTGGAGAGCAACAACCATCCTTTCATGGCAGAAGAGATGACTGAACGTTGGTGCTGATGAGAGTCAGCCAGAAGACAGCCCTATTTCTTTGGTTCCTAGCAAACAAACATGGAAACATCCTGGGATATGCTTTGCCTGGAGATGATCTACCAGACCTACAAGTTCTACACTTAAATATGTGGTGAAAAGTCACAGAAACAGTGCGTGAACTTGAGATCCCTAATACAGAGGAAAGACATTATCAGAAAAAGCACTCTGATAATAAAAGTGGAGAAGAACTCATGTGGTTACACACTGTGGAGGAAAGATGGAGAACATGTATTTTAAAATAGCTTGTCACTTCTGATGTTACAGATAAACTTTACTATCCATTACAAACATACATTTTTTCTTTTTCTGTAACTTACTTCACCAGTTGTTTCATCTACTAAAGAAATCTGAGTAGGAGTTTCAACCTCCAGTGCAACCTGTAATAGTGAATAAATGCATTACAGGATTTAATGAACATCGTGCTTCACATTTGAATAAAATTTCATTATGTAAACACCTAAGTAGCCAATACCTAAATAGTAAAATTAAGCTGACTTCCTGTAGAAAGTCATACATTTCTGTTTCCAGTGGATAAAAAGGTTCATTTCTAAAAATGGAACACAGATACCTCAATCACTGTGTGCACACTTAAAAAGTATGTTGGACTCTCAACAGTAAGCAGCCACAGTTCTCTGGTGGGATCACGTGCCTTGTTTTTAAATAACTGTAATGCTCAGCTCCCCAGTCCCAGAGCACACCAGTGATCTTGCAAGGTTAGGACTCCGTGCTGCGGCACAACTTCTCCTCACTGTTCCCTATTACCAGAAGCACCAACTGCACGCAGCAAGCCTTCCTGTGCTTGTATAGAGGAGACTAATTTACAGATGGCAATTAATCTCCCTATTTTGGCATGCCCTATCTTAACTCTGAGTCCTCCAACATACATGCTCTGTGCCTCTCCCACCATATTTGTATACAGCTGTTTTGCCAAGAAAAAGCCAAAGTGAAAGACTCCTGTCATCACCCCTCTAGGTCTGACCTCCAGCTTCTCAGCTGAGCAGCCCGCTCAGAGCAGGTTTACTGGGTTTTACTGCATGACTGGATTCACAGAACACCCCATCCCAAATTTCTAGGCAGTTCCAAGTGATCCATCCAGCAGGTACGCACAAAAGCTGAGAACGTATGGCTTCTCCACCACAAACAAAAATGCTAATCGATCAGACAACTGTCAGACTCCCAGACTGCTCCAAAACACAGATATACACATCAAAAAATATTTTATACTAAGAATTCAAACCATTTGGAATTTGAAAATTAAAAAAGAAAACTTACTATGTGATTCTCCCAAAACTCATATTTCGAGTTAGTCAGTAGCAATTCCTTAGTTACTGGAGAGCAATATAACTTAACTTTCAAGCTGTAAGGAGAAGGAAGAAAGAAAAAAAAAAAAAAGATGAGTGCTTTTGTTTGTGTTCTTTTTAAGCAGAGGCAAGGAGCAATCTAAAGATGCATCAGCAGCCAGCACCAAGCACACCAAAACACACACACAGGCCCCCCTGTCACCCAAAAAAGACCCGCAGAGCAGCAAGCCAGCAGTAGCTGTGCTGCACCAACCTGAAGTGGGATCAGGAGGAGCTGCTGCACCTTTGCAGAGCAGGCTTTTTTTCAATGCAGCAGACCCAAAATCTTACCTACGTGTGTCTGTGCACGTGTGTTTTTAAGCAGGCATGAATAAAGCGTGTTGTAGGCAGTCACATGTGTGGATATCACTGCTTGTTTGCACACACACCAAGGTCTGCTCCAGATGTATATGCTTTCCCTGGAATGCACTGGAACAGGCTGCCCAAGGAGGCTGTGGATGCCCCATCCCTGGAGGCATTCAAGGCCAGGCTGGATGTGGCTCTGGCAGCCTGGTCTGCTGGTTGGTGACCCTGCACACAGCAGGGGGTTGAAACTAGATGACCACTGTGCCATTCTATGACTCTATGATTAGGCACCTGGGACAGTTTGCAGCCAGCAGAATGGAAACAGAATGGATCCTACAAAGCTCTGGCTTTTGCACAGCACACAAAGAGAGCTGGTGATCAAAGTGATTCTTCGCTTGCATTTGAGGAGATGCAACATGCGCTCTAATAGCTGAGCACCCCGGGCACTGAGACTCCGTTATCTCCGCGTTCAGCAGCTGCTTTCACTGCTGCGCTGCTGCTCCATACTAGCTCTCTCCCATACAATTCAATACCTGCTCTGCAGCCTTCTCCTCAGGGCGGGCGCCCTCAGCCCCTTCATGTGATCTGAGGAGAAACGGCACGGCGGTCAGGGCGGGGATGGCGGCAGGGTGGGGGAGATACCCTAAAGACGGGCGGGAAGGAGGGGCGGCTCACCCTTGTGGCAGTGCGACAGGAAGTAGGCACGCGCGCGCAGGTTGTCGTGGTCGAAGCGGTCGATGGACAGCTGAGGGTATTCGCGCAGCCGGCCCCCGAACCGGCTCATGGCGGCCGCTTCCGCCTCGTTGCGCCCGCACCGCATCGGCCAATCGGGAGGAGAGTTCGCCTCCTGCCAGCCAATCAGAAGCACGCGGAAGGAGAGGCGGGAGCAAGGGCTTAAAAGGGCAACGGCGGGAGGCGGTTGCTTGGAAACGGCGCGGCGCGGCGGCCATTGGTGCTGTGAGGAGGCGCTGCCGTCCCGTCCCGTCCCGTCCCGAGGTCTCTGAGGACAGGGGCGTGGATGTGCGAGCGGGCTGTGTGGTGGTGGTAGGACTGAGCGTCATGGTGATGACACGGGGATGAAGTCGTTCGTGGTGGTGGTGGCGGTAGAGGGGCTGGTGTTGGTGTGGTGGCTGTGGGGTTGTTTTGGGGGTGCTGTGTGGAGACCTTCCTTAGGTGGGATGTGGCAGGAATTGCGTCATTTGGGGCTTGGCTGCCTTTAGGCCTCGGGCTTCAGAGCAGGGTTTGGATCTCATGGTTGGGTGGTGGGAGCCTTGCTCTGCCTTCATGCTGAGCTCTGCCTTAGGAGCTGTGGATGCAAGGTATATTCTGAGCAGTTTGTCTTTACTGTTGGTGGCGGTGACTGTTTAAGTGCAATCTTCTGTTGTGCAAGTTCTGTTCTTTTCCATTGTGAATTTTAAGGAAACGGAAGAAACTTGGGGAAAGAAGCGGCATTGAAAAGTAACTGATTTAATGAGAGGCAAATACACAGCTTCAGTCACTTGAAAGAAGTACGTAGTCAGTTACTTCTCGTTTCTCCACTTTTGGTAGTGCTTAATATTGTTAAGCCAGGCACCAAAGACTTCAAATCAGGGAGTTCTTCTGTTCCAGTGCCTCAGAAGCAGCCTGCTATGTTTCATTTTCCAGTAGGTAGCTGGTATGAGAGTAATATTCCAGTTAGTGTGCCCGTTCTCACATGCACACGGCCTGAAAGTGTGCACAGACTGAAAATAGTGCATTTACTGGCACCCATGTAAATATAAACAGCACTTATATAAACGTGAATTATGCAGGCCATTGGTCAGATTTTCCCTCTTCAGCTGATCAGGACTGAGGTTCACTTATGAAGTGTCCACACTTTGTTATAAATATGCGTGCATTCACAAATCTTTCAAATATTAGCTTTTTACACTGGTATCTGTCTCGTCTGGCAATTTCCTATATGTCCAATAGTTCTTTCATGTTCTGGATGAGAAAGAAAAGAAAAAGAAAAGAAGAAAAAACTCTGCAAATGATTATTTAAAAAAAAAGAAAAAAAAAAAAAAGAAAACTTTACTATGCAGGTGACAGAGCGCTGGCACAGCTTGTCTGGAGAATTTATGGATTCTCTTTCCTAGGAGATCTTTAGAAGCTGCTTGGATGTGATTTGGGGTGCCCTGCTCTGGGTGTCCCTACTTGAGTGGGGGCTGGACCAGATAGACCCAGAGGTCACTGCCAACCTCATCCATTCTTGGATTTTGTTCAGTCAGGGTAGTATCAGGCTAGGGCCTAGATGCCTGCCTGAATACCTTGGAAAATTCAAAGGTTCTCGTGTGAAGTCTGTTGAAATCATTGGACATTTCTCAGCAACTTCTAGGGCCCTAGATTGGCCCTGTGAGTGCTGACTTATGAAAGCATTAAGGAAATAACACACACAGGCCCAGGCTGGTTTGGATACCATTGAAATTAAGCTGTCATTGACCTAAAAAAACAAACAAACAAAACAAACAAACAAAAAACCTCAAAGCTGAAACAGAAGTCTGTGGAATCTCACCATTTCCTCTGAATTAAGAGTAGGCAAACATTGTTTTAGCAAAGTTCACTTCACTGTTCAATTACACTCTGTATAAAAAGCACTAGTATTTTGCTGGATTACATTTTCTTACCACTGTCCTGCATTCTTTCACTTACCTACAGCTGTCTGCTGCCTTTTGTTTTTTTTTCCCTAAACTGTGAACTGTCTGGAGTGTGGCTCATCTTGTGCTCTTGTACAATGAGACCAGCTCTGTGCTTGGAACTCAGAGGCACCACAGTAGGCAAAGAGTGCCATTTGTAAAAGGTTGAAATATCAGCCTAAAAATACCAGGATTTATTTATGTTTTTGATTATTGAAGTCACCAAGCTGACACTTTATGTGATGCTTACATGTGTTTTGAGCAGGAAGACCTGTGGGAAGCAATCCAAAATAATGGTGAGTCAGGAAATGCCAAGTGCGTCGAGATGTCTTGAAGAACCGCATTCATCAGATGAATTCAGCACATCCTCTAAAGAAGTACTTAAGCCCAGTAACATGTAAGTTATCATAAGATGCTTAATAAGTGCTGAACTACTATTAATTTAAGAGCTAATGCCATTACTTACAGTATGGTCTTTCTCATGTCCCAGATTGACAGTGGCTCTCTAACATAAACAGCATATGCAAAATTCTGTAATGCTACAAAAGGGCCCTTTGCAGCAAGAGATCAAAGAATTATCTTGAGATAGCAATACTACACTACGGACTTGCAATAAGGATATATGCTGAGCATCTAATTTGTATCTGACACCTCATAAGTGGGTGTGAAAATTACTTTTTTTCTTTAATTATTATTACTAAATGGCTGCCTTCAATTATGAAACACCAGTAAGAGCTGCAGAGCCCTTAGTGCTTAATGTTTGGAGTGCTGAGCTGCAAGAAATAGATCAGTGTTGCTAGAAGAGAGACTTTGTGCATATTTTTTATTGATCTTTAATGAAGCATATGCAGTCAGGGATGAAAGGCCTGTTCTTCTTTCCCAGTGGCTCATATGTTATATGACAAAGATGCAGATTTCCACATTATGGTAGCAATTCTGCAGTTTTTTCTCTACTGCTCTTTTTAACTGGCTAATTTGATAAGCCACCAGCTTTCAACTTTTGAAACTCTCAGTTGACATTGGAACTTGCTAAGTAAGGAAATTCTACCTTGTTTGCAAAAGGGTTTTGTGTGGGAGAGAGTCGGAAGCATCAGTAAGATTTTGGTTGGGCAAGCACTGACTAAGATGAATGTTGGTAGATTTTGTGCTTTTCTTTCTTACCCCATCCAACTGATTCCTTAGAACCAGTTCTTTGGCATCTTCACTGTGGCCATATGACTGGCAGTGCATTCCTTCCTTCTGTTCCTCACCTGTCCTGAATGTTTCATTTTGTGCTTGCCATTTTGGTGTTCCTTCAGCAGAAGGAAAGAAAAACCTGAAAAATTGCCTGTCTCAAAGGAGCAGTGACTGTGGAGATGTGAAATTTGAAACAATTAATGGGTTTTCTTTGTTATTTTATGCATCTCTGTGCACCAGTAAATTTTAGGCAGCGCTCTTAACTCAGGGTGGCAAAAATATCATAACAGTTTCCTAGATAGAGAAGTATGGGTGTCATGGGTTTGTTTGAGATCGACTGGTGCATTTCTGATTACATTTCTGGTTGTTTATAATCATTATTTGCCCAAGGAGGCTGTGGATGCCCCATCCCTGCAGGCATTCAAGGCCAGGCTGGATGTGGCTCTGGGCAGCCTGGTCTGGTGAATGGTGACCCTGCACACAGCAGGGGGTTGAAACCAGATGATCTTTGTGGTCCTTTTCATCCCAGGCCATGTTTTTTTTTTTCTTTTTCTTTTTTAACCTCAGACTTGGAGAGGAAGACATTGTATTGTTTGTATGTTATTGTTTCAATTTTGTTCTACCCATCCCTGTTTCATCCTAACAAGAACCCTTCCTTTTGTCTTCTCTACTTCCTTCTCAAAAATCTAATTTCAGGAAAATGTCAGAAGTTTCTGCAGCCATGTCTAAAGCTCACATCAAGCCAAAATCTATATGTCATGCCAAACAGTGGTCAGATGAGATAGAGAACTTATACAGGTTCCAGCAAGCTGGGTACAGAGATGAAGTTGAATATAAACAAGTGAAACAAGTTGATACGGTAAGATTTAAAACTCTGCAGTTCTTACACTGAATTCCTCTCTGATGTTAAATTATTAAATAAAACTGAATGTGCCTCTTGTTTCCTGTAGTTATGCTAGTTTCCAATACAGTTTTTTCTCCCAGATCTGACTTGAATTCTCGTGCAGTTGTTAGCTGTGCAGAATAATTTATTTTACAGAAGCAAAATAGAAACACAAGCCAGCCTGGTTTTGTTCCCCAGGTCTTACACATTTACAAATATCACCTAGATTTCTTTGAAGAGATGTAGCTGTTGTCTGAAAGACTAATTCAATTTTGAGGGAAGGAATATATGAAAGGTAATTCTCTGCAAAGTCTCCCCACAACTCTGCCAATGGCCCTGAGAGGAAACGCATTCACTGTGCAGGAGCTCAGTCCTGTGCTATTGCATAGCAGCATAATCAAATGTCATGCACACTCCAAATTTGGTTTCTATTGAATCTGACCAAAGTAGGAATATCTGAAGGCAGTTGTGTTACAGGGAGTTGTGTTACAGGCATTTGTCAACAGAGCACATCTAGGACTTGGTCTTCTGCTCATTGCAGTTGATGGCAAAACTCCCTAGCACATCAGATGAGATACGTAGTGGTTTCCTGAGATTCAAAAGAGCAAATAATATGTTACCTGCATTGAATTTCTGTAATTGGTCTTCCAAAGCAACGTATATAATATGAAACATGCAATTTTAAAAGATCTTAACCTCCTGTGTACATAAATGCTGCAATTAGTGTGGTAGGATGAGTCCATTCAAGATTTATGGCAGTGTGTAACCACACGCAATTAAATCCTCATAAAAGCTGAAGAGCATCACTTATGCTGATTTAAAATGTGTGTTCGGTTGAAGCTTGCCAGGATCTGGTGGTTCTTTTCCAGCTTACACATTTTGAAATGTTGTATTTACTCCATATTATGCTTCCTGACTGCAGTTATGATTAATGATGCAATTACAATGTAGTTGTAACAAATGTTAAAGCTCTTATCTTCAGACAGAGGATGCACATAATTCAACTGTATGCCAAAGTAATGCAGAATTAAGCTACTGCTTCTGGAACTCTCCATTCAGAGAATGCTGTACTTTAATCTCCTATTCTCAGCTCTGCCTGGAAGAGATGGGATTCTTATTACTTGATTTTTAAGGATCGGGCTGATCAGAAGTAATCACAGTTGTTCAAACTGGAGGTAGCTGTCAAAACCATAAAGCTCTCAAACTAATGGCACAAGCACTTGTATGTTCAGAGCTTCACAAAATGAATAATGAACAGCACCGTGATGGTGCTCGTGTCCTGCAGGACTGATCCTGCTTATTCCGAGACTTCTCTGATCAAAAAATTATTTATATTAGATCAGAAAACTGTTTCCTAACATCTGGTTCTCAATCTTTTTTAATACTTAAGGAAGCTAATGCAAAGTCTGTTCAGAAACACTTGTTTTCCCACAGAACTGTACCCTATATTCTCTACAACATGGGGCACAAGCATCACTCAGTGCAAACTTGTTCCAGTGAATGAATATCCTCTTATTTTCTTTGTAGGTAGAGTGTTGGCCAGAAACTGGATTTGTGAAGAAGCTTCAGAGAAAGGACAACACCTTCTATTATTACAATAAGCAAAGAGAATGTGAAGACAAAGATGTTCATAAAGTGAAAGTTTATGTATACTAATTTTGCTACTTTCCAAAGTTTGTACATTTTTAAATAAATCTTTTTGTTAGTTATGATTTGCAAGAGAATGAGATTTGTATAACCCAGCATTCAAAGCATAAATGTCATTCTCAGGTAGAATGGAGAATACAGAACGTGTTCCAAATAATTTGATATCAAAAAGATAAAAAGCTGCAAGGGGACTCTGCATATTTGGCTTGACTGTGCAAAGTCCATTGTAAGTAGGCTCATTAATCTTTACTCTGAACAACATAATCTTGTCGATATCAGCTAATGTCAGCTGCAGTCTCTTGGTGTAATTGAGGGCTGTGAGGCTCCCAGTAAGTCCAAAAGGAGAATTGTAGTAATTGTAGTGCCGTGGAGAGGAGGAACAACGAGCAGAAATCTTTATTGTTTTAGTCTACTGTTTATTTAGTTACTGTTGTGTCAGATCTGTTCCCCAGTATGTTTGCTTAGCGTTTCCCTTTCTGCCCTCAGCAGCCCAATTTAGGAGTCCTCCATCAAACGGCTCTACTCAAATAAACTTTCTCACACTCTGTGCTTATCACTGAGACTAACCTGGTCTGTTTCTTTTGATTGTTTCCTCATTTGGAAGTTCTTGATCAGATAACCCTGCTGGAATAAACATTCCCACTTCTTGTTAATGAGGGCAACCCACCAAGTTTGTTTCTGGTCACTGTCTTTGTTAACCCCAATGGGTCAGGGTTTCTGTCTGTAAGTGCTTGTTCTTTTTGTTTGCCTCATCATCCCAATGTTGTGAGGCCTTTACCCAGTTGTACATCAAATAAACTGTCTCACACACCACATATCCCGACAGCATTCATTGATTTGGAAGGTTATGGTGTTTTATGGAGGAAAGAAAAAAAAGAATTGTGGATTTACATACAGTGGGATCAGGGAGTACAAAACTGCAGAGAGCTTGGAAGGCATCTCAAGTAATATTTCAGTTTAGGTAACCTACTTAAATGAAAAGGGGGGTTTCTGGGCAGAATTCGTCTTGCTTACCTTCAGATATCACCTTGTCAGTATCTACAGCTTCTCATTATACAGCCTTTGTTCTGAACAGAGGACAGCACAATGCAATTCTTGTCAATGTTGCTCTGCAGCACCAGCCTGTTGCTCTGCTGTCAGCTGCGCACAAGCTGCCCACAAGCGTTCCTACACTGGGGCAGCTGGTAAATGTGAGGTACCTCATAGTTACCTTCACTTGAAGTATAATGCTTGAATCCACCCAAACTGTGGGTAAGTGACCTGCTGAAGCTGACTCATCTGAACCAGTGCTGTGTTCATGCTAGTTACAAATAATATGTTATCAATTCCTTCTGTCTCTAGACTAAAGCTCAGGATGATCATCTCGACCAAGTTTTAGGCATGGATGTAGATGCTGGCAGGAGGACATTATGTGTGGCAGTGTACATTTTAATATCTAAGGGTTATTCTTCACTTGAAAGTAAGGCATAGGCCAGCTCAACATGCAAAGTAAAGGGTCGCAGTAAGCAGCATAGATACAACGTTCAAAAGATCTTCTTGTCAACAGGTGGCAGTGTTCCAGTCACCTTATTGAGATGGCTTGGAGATTTTTAGCCTAGAATTGTATTGACTGTGTTAGAGAAACAACTGGAAGGTACTCAGAAGCAGCTGTGAAGCTTTTTGCTCCAGGAAGGTCATTGTGTTGTACAAACAGAGTTCTGCAGCGACAGCCACAAAGCATTACTGCAGTAAATTTTAGTTCTCTTCCATTCTCTTTTTTCTTTTTCCTTTTGTTTGCTTTGTGCATACTTTGTAAGAGAGGCCTTTTTTTGTGCTTTGCAAACAAACAGCAGGAACAGAACAATTACAATCCATCCATTTTTTCACTTTACGACTGAGGTTCTCCCTTTTTCCACAGAATCCAAAACAAGAAATCTTCCAGTGGAGATGGAAAGAGACATTTCCAGGTAGACATTTACAGGTAGATAAACTTACCAGCAGAAATGACTGAATTATTGCCATCAGCACGCACACAGTAAGTGAGAATTAATTTGGTGCTATCAATCTATAATAAAGACAGAGTTGGGCATTGGAGCAGAATTAAAACAGCAGGAAAGTTTTTAAAGCTTAATTATTATTATTATTTTTTTTTTTTAAATAAAAGCCTTTTTAAATTGAAACAAATGTAAAAGGTTATTCTGTGTTTCCCTCATTTTATCTGCTGGCACCAAATGTTTTTGCAGTGCAGCAAATTTTTTTCTGCATTATGCTTTAAAACAGTGAGCACACATTTCATACAGCCCACGAGGGCTGCTTTTCGGCTCAGACAAGTAGGACAGCAATTCACACATTCCACTTTGGAAATGCTTTTTTTTTTTGTATGAGTTGGCAGATTCCTCATGCTTAAAGAGAGCGAGCAGCCTAGATTTCATTACTAACATTTTTTCTGTTCTGTGTGTGTTGAATCTCACTGTCATATTTAAAAGATTAAGGGAAAGAAAAGCCCTGTCATCAGTGCAATTTTTTGGCATAGCTTTAATCAGCCCCGATGCCACATTTGAAAGTTCACTCACTCCATTACCAAAAAAGCAGGTCTGGTATTGATGGTGACAGTTTCAGCTAGACTTGTCCTTTGGCATCCAGATTGTATTCATATTGCAGTACAATTTGTGCCAAATTTAAGGTTATTGAAACCATTTTGAAGACCTCAGCTGTGGAACGCCCTAGCTGTGAAGCCAAACAGTTTCTTTTCTGCTGAAAGAGAAATAGATATTGGGGCTCTTGCTGAATTCAGCTTTGTCTGTGATCACAAGATGACATTAATCTAGTGTAAGGCTGCTTGCTTGAGCTATTTGTCCTGAAGTGGATTTGGTATTCAGCTCTGCTTGCTGAGGAGGACACAAGGAGCAGCATAACCCAGGTGCAAGGCTGCCTGTCAGCAAACCCAACCAGCTGCCCAAAGTCCGAGGTACTCAGGCTCATTCTAATTCACTTTGTGGCTGTGTAGCAGACAAAGATGGATGCTCCCTGTGTTTGCTGAAGCTCAGAAGAGGTGCTAAAACAAACCTTTCCAACACCTACTTTTCGGGCTTTTTGTTTGACAGTTTCAGATGAAATGGCCAGGGTGCAAGCCCTCAGGTCACACTGAGGAAATAAAGCTGTGTTTTTGTATTTTAGGCTGTTTTTCAACATTTTCAGCCTTTCCTTGAATTCATTATGCAGCCGTATTGTCTGAAAGTGATTCTACAGCTGATTGCCTTACAGTCACAGCAGCTTGGCTTCCACACCAACTACCAGTGGAAGCATTTCACTGTTCATTTCAGTGGACAGTTCCAGTTCTGAAGGCTTTCGAGCCTCAACCTTTTCCACTCATAAACATCATTTCCTACCTTCAAGTTGTTGGAAATAGCTTCAAACTTTGTCAAAGAGAACTTTAACTCAGCAGCTGCCGATGTCACTGTGCCTCACGTTGAAAAAAGTGAAGCCCACCTGGAGGCAGTTTGAATGGAACTGCTGTATTTTCTTTGCAGGTTCTCCCATATTTCCCTGGTTCCACAGCACTCTTCCATACGCTGCAGCTATTTGTGTTAGGTGCTGCCAGATCATAGGTCGTTTTGTGAACTCAACCATGGAATCATAGAACGTGTCAAGTTGGAAGGGACACACCAAAGGTCATTGAGTCCAATTCCCAGCTCCACACAAGACCATCCAACATTCAAACCCTATGTCTGAGAACATTTGTTCAAACACCCCCTGAACTCAGGCAGGTCGGGGCTGTGCCCACTGCCTTGGGCAGCCTGTTCCATGCCCACTGACCTCTAGTGAAGAAACTCCCTCAAATATCATAAAATAACCCATAATATTCATGCTAATCATGTTAACAGTTATAAACAAAGGCTGGATTAATTCTTTTCACTGCAACCATTTTCAACCAAATACACCACAAATGCTTTCATTGCAAAGCATTTTCAACCACATCAACCAGGAATTCTGGCTTTCGTACTTATCTCTGTTATCACTTGCCTGTTAATATTTGTGTGCATGCTTAGTTTAGCATTATCCTGGTATTTGTTATTTCTGTGATTCTGAATTGCCCTTAACCAACATCCCATTGGCCCAGGGCATGGAGACAAAAGGAAAGGAATGTCTAAAAAGAAGAGGTCAAGGGAGGGAAGGATAAGCATGTGTAGGGAGCTAGCCACAAGATGCACAGAGTTTTGGTGAGGCCTTGGCCCAGGCTGCCCAGAGAGGTGTGGATGCCCCATCCCTGGAGGTGCGGAAGGCCAGGGCCCCCCTTGGGCAGCCTGATCTGGTGGGGAGCAACCAGCCCACAGCAGGGGATTGGAGCAGGATCTGCTTTAAGCCCCCTCCCAATCCAAGTCATTCTGTAACTCTGTGATTCTATGATCTGGTACCCACACAAACCTCCTCCCACACTGGCAGTAGTTCCACTCTGGCTGGCTGGGAGGCGGTCCTGGCTCCTTGCTGCAGATGTTAGTCAGGAGCCTTGGCAGGAACACCCAAACGCCTCGTCCAAAGGCACAGCGCCCTGCCTGGGCTGCTCTGTTGGCAGGGGACAGGGCATGAAGCAGGGCATCGCGTGCGGCTGCTTCTTTGGGTTTGCTCAGTGTGCCCAGGAGGTGTCAGATCGCTAAGGAACATCGTTGCACCTGCAATACAGAGACAGATTTGTGTAAGAGTCACTGGATTCATACTTTGTCAGGGCAGAACACTATTTCAACAGAGAAGGGAGATTTATGTATCTGGAGGATGAGTTCAGATACAGGATCAGAGAATCATTAAGGTTGGAAAAGACCACTAAAATCATGCAGCCCAACCATCAGCCCACCCCCACCGTGCCCACTGACCTCATGTGGCCACAGTGCCACATCTGCACGTTTCTTGAACACCTCCAAGGATGGTGATTCCACCACCTCTCTGCGCAGCCTGTGCCAATGCCTCACCGCTCTTCCTGAGAAGAAATTCTTCCTCATGTCCAACCTGAACCTCCCCTGGCACAACCTGAGGCCATTCCCTCTCATCCTGTGGCTGTTACCTGTGGAAGAAGCTGGTGTGGGCTGGAGCACCTCCCCCTGCTCTTCACAGGGAAGCTCACAGCCATGCCTCTGCTCATAGCCTGCCAGGAAAATGAAGAAAGAGAAGAGCTGGATGCTGCTGCATTGCTTGTGCATGTATCGCATGTGAAAGAGGGAAAATTTCATTATTCATATTTACATTTAATGAAGTATTTCTCTGTCTGAAGATATTCCTCCCCCCCCCCCAAAATAAAGTGATTTCTGTCGATCTGCCTTCAAATGCTGTGACTTTCAGTTGAGATTTCATGATGGGAAGAAGCAGATGGCAAAGCCAGCGAGGGATGCCATGGGATGGGGCTGCGTGCTGGATCTGTGAGCCCACGTCTCCCTCTGCTGACTGCCTCCTGGCTCCTGCAGCCCCTTCCTTTATTGTAGAGGATAAAAAAGCGGTGATTTTTGTTACTGTTTTTTCTATTGCTGACGGATGAACGCCCTCCCCACATCCCAGCTGCTGACCACAGCACATGTGCAGAAAGGAGCTCCTCACATCAGCCTGCAGCACCGGGTGCCAGTGTGTGTCACCTTAGCAATGCTGAGCTCACTTTGGATCTCAGTGCACTGGATCTTTCCATTCACCGTGAAACAATGCATGAATCCTCAGCTACAGCAAGATGTCCACTTACAGTAAGGAAGAGACTCAAGGCAAGCTGCTATAAGCCAGGGGAAGCAAGAAAGAACCCTTTGCTGGGTTATTGCATTTAAGATGGATTATGCTAGAAATGCCCATGCGGAATTTGGAATTTGTTTTCTTTTTCAG